CATTATATTATGGTCGTAATTTAAGTGCTTCTCATGCATGCAGGCACCCTTTTACCTTTCTTTAAAGTTATTGTTTATTTATTTATATATATATATATATATATATAGTTTCTAATTATTTATAATTAATTTGTATATAGTTTCATTTGAAGGGACCTCTTATAATAATTATATCATTTGTTTCTTATATTCTAATTAAACATACACTTGAAATCTTTTAAATCCAAATTAATTAACATTTGAGATTTATGATGTTAAGCACTTTTTCAAAAGCTTTTAAACTTCTCTACGTAAATAAATGAAGAAATAAAAAGCCTAAACATTAGGTAAATTTGTTAGGTGAAAGTGTGAAAATTTAGAAAAATATTTCAACACTTGTCACTTTTTTATATTTTTTTATTTGCCTTTCCCATTCTTTGGAGCCATTCATCTCTCTCTCTCTCTCTCTCTCAAAATTGGCTTAGTTTCTCTCTTCCATTATGGTTGCTGCTTTTGAGAAAGCAACTTTTCTTTTTTCTTTTTATATTATATATAAATATATGTATACATTTTTCTCAAATAACTTGATATATATATAGTAATTTCTTGATTGCAACATAAATCTTGTCAACGAAGATACTAATGCAATGCTTGTAAAACTGATTAACATTTGTCTTTATTCAACCTTTTGTTAGCCTTAGCCACTATTAATCTCTGTCTCTCTCTCACACACACACACACACATATATATATATATATATATATATATATATATATATATATATATATATAGTCCCAAAGTTGATGAGCATTTCAATTTGAAGATAGCAGTTACAATTGTCGGAGCTAATAATAATGAGCCACGTAGAAATTAAAAAGTTGGGTGCCTGTGGATAATTTCAATCATGTGCTTCAATAATTTTGGATCATGTATTACTTCTAATTATCTCTAATTTTGTCCCAATTTATATTTTTATTTTTTTGACTAAAGGAACCATCATCTAGAAATAACTTTGATACATACGAGTTCCACGTTTCTGAAACTGAAACTTCGTGACATATGTTGGAACTATTTTGGGTCCATTTTCGCAATTATTTAAAAGTTTCGGGGGTGTATCTGTTAATAATGAAAAAATAAAAACGTGTTCCATCCCAAAAATCGTAAACTCATTTTAAATAAAGACCTGGAATACCCTTCACTTGATTTTTTTTTTTTTTAAAATTTTATGTCTCTTTTTTCGCTTCTAGTAGTGGTTTAATATATTTTATATGTGTCTTATATAAAATTTGTGGAATGATAATACTGATTGAAACGTGTAAATTATATAATAATTTGCATATACAAATATACAATTGATGATAAGTGTTTAAGTTAACAATAATTCCTAAAAATTACAGATAATATCCTAATATTTTAATATTTACACATTTTCTCCATGTTTCTGATTCCGATTTTTCAGAAAATGGGGTCCATAAATTAAAAGAAACTATGCTTCAAATCCATTGAGTCCACAAAAAATATTTATTGTAAATTAAATAAATATATCTAAATATATATATATATATATATATATATATATATATATATATATATATATATATATATATAGTGTCTCCTGTGTAGGTATTATTGCATCCACGTACAGTTCTTGAAAAACAAAAAAGACTTTATTTTGGTGAAACTTTTGAAGGTGGCATGCAATAATATATAATAGGTGCAACTGCAATCTAATAAAGCTACAACTTTAATTAATCAATTTGCTAAAAGCTAAATTGCTTTCATTCATATGCTTTAAATTGCTATCAAGGACCCCATGCACATCACTAATTAAAGTTTTTGAGTTTTGTGTGCTCTTAAATATGAATTTGCACAAAATTATTACGCTAATTCAACCCGAAATTCGAAATCTGAAAACCCGAAAACCGAAATTAAAGTCACAATTTTACTAATATTTTGGGAGAATTAGTCGATTAAAAGTACTTCAGACGAGATATAAATCGCGACAATTGATCTGAAAAATGTTGGTACGGGAAATTGACCTAAGGAAGTTTGACGACGCGTTTTTCTACTTCGACCGACCGATTAATTTCCGATCCATACAATTAATTTTAGGTGTATGCATAATGGCCTGCAAATTTTAGTGAGTTACCACTAAATACTAATTAGTTATCCTCAATAAAATATTAAAATTAAAATTAAACGACTTTAAACCAAATTATGCAAAATTAAAGCAAAGCCCAGAAAATGACTTCCGAAGTAAAAAATAATGGGTGGGAGTTAGTGCTCAATTATTAATTCGCAGATAAAAAACTTTATTTATTTATTATTATTAAAAAAATATTATTTTAATTAAAGTGACTTAAAATATTCTAAAAGCTTAATTAGCTCCCATGATTCATGATTTAGTTCCTTTGAACTATTGAATATTCAGATACATTTTATTGTAGACTATCAACTTTGATATTCATGACACGTGGCAGGTATATTCAGAGTGAAAATGTTGTAGACAATTCTTTTTTTTTTTCTTTTTAATATTTCCATTTGTGCGAGTATAAAACAATAATTTTATCACTCCAATAATTACTCATCACCTTTTCATAATTAAATTAAAAAAAGAATTATATTGAGTTGTTAATATTAAAGCTTGCTCATAACAAAGATTCACATATTGATTCCTTCTTATCAGTACAGCAGTTGTACATCTGATTAATAATTATCCGATCCTCTGCAAATCTTTAAACTTAGGATAATCTAATCATTAATCATTAATCAATTTATAATACACTTGTGTAATTTTGCTTTAAAGGCTGATAAAGGGATGTGTGTAGTGTATTATATATATATAATGACAACTAAGTCTCACAATCCCACTTGTTGTATCTAATATAACTCACTTCACTTTTGGAATCATATTTCATGGGTCATATTTTATTAATTAGTGATGCACTTTAGTTAAATTAATGTTTGTCTTTCTTTCATTTCAATAAAAATATAAATTTAATTTCTTCATGATAAAAGTAAAGTAGACACAAAGTATCAAGAATCTTGACACAAGTCCAAAGGCAATTCGGGTTCGATCTCACTTTACCCTCTAATAATCCATAGTGCTTGTTACTAGCTCCACGTGAGGTAGATACAAATGTCGGATGTGACTACACATTCAGCCCAATGCCAGAAACAAAGGTGGAAGACTCGTAACATGCCACGGACCAAGGAGATGACCACTTACGGGAGCACTGCACCAACAGTCTCTCTCCATTTAACTGATCCAGATTATTACAATTAGCAATATACCTCCCCCTTAGCATTTCCATAGTAGGTCCACCACTCCCACGTGTGATCTGAGCAAAGACAGAACGGAGGATCCACCACCCTATCCCTACGACATGTATAAATACACTTATATTGTAAATTCACGATTCTGACTGACTTAACCGTCGGAGTGCTAACGACGAGAAACCCTCACCGGCACTCCTTTTTGCAAGATTTTCGGAGCGGGTGGACTTCTTTTTATCCTGGTTTATCTCACTTCAGGCCTACTTCACTTCTTTAATCCGTGATTGAGCCATTTATGCTAGCTACATCAATAACATTTAATAGGCAGCTTCCAACTTTTTATAGCAAGTACGAATCTTGTTAATCAAACATATTATACACTCCTATTAGTATAAAATAATTAATTTTTTATAACTTCAAGATTAGAATATTAATTAAAAAATAAAATTATTTTTTGTACACCCCAATTATTTAAAAAAAAAAAAGTTTGTGCCTAATCAGATGCAAGAGAATTTTTATACTTTGGTTAAGGTAAAAAGCATTTAACCGGCTGGCTCAATTTTCTGTAGGCCCATAAAAATTAGTCTAGAACATTAATTAATTACAAAAATTAAAATCTATAAATAAACGCCCACCGTGGGGCTCGAACCCACGACCACAAGGTTAAGAGCCTTGCGCTCTACCAACTGAGCTAGACGGGCTACTGCATTTGATTATATCAACCATTTTATATCAAAAAACGTGTTTGTCACACTCGGTATGGGATTACAATAGTTGACCCTCTGATAAGGCCCATTTAAATAAAAATATGGACCGAAACCCTCTTATAGCAGCCCATATAAATTAAACATGGGCCAAAATAGAAAAAATAATTTTGATATAATCGCCCACCGTGGGATAATTGACCCTCTGATAAGGCCCGTTTAAATAAACATATATCCCGAAACCCTATTATAGTAGCTCATTTAAATTAAAAATGGGCCAAAACAGAAAAAAATATTTTATATAAATGCCCACCGTGGGATTATTGACCCTCTGTTAAGGCCAGTTTAAATAAAAATATGGGCGAAAGCCTATTATAGCCGCTCATTTAATCTAAACATGGGCCAAAAATAGAAAAAAAATCTTATATAAACGCCCACCGTGGGGCTCGAACCCACGACCACAAGGTTAAGAGCCTTGCGCTCTACCAACTGAGCTAGACGGGCTTTGTGTGATTGAAATTTGTTATCACTAGTATTGTATAAAACACTTATAAAACAATTAAATAATAACAACATTAATATATATATATATATATATATATACAAAGATATTGCAAATTAAAACCAAAATTAATGCTCCTTATACTTTTTTATTGTGCATGGCCCCAAGGTAAAAGACATCTTCCGATAGAATAATAGCAGATTTGGGTATTAATATATTTGATACAGGATCACTTGAAATGTGTAGCTTGAGAATCGAGCTGGAGAATTCACAAAAAAACGTGGAGGTTACCGTATATATGAGTTCATGTTGACTGAACGAAGTGCTCATATTCGTATCACCTACAAAACATGCATACTTACTATTCCTAAGCTAAATAGAAATAAATGATTGATATTTTATATATAACTACACGTGTCGCACTAAAGATCTCGCACGTGGAGTAAACATCGTCTATGGTCCAACCAATTGGGTATGTCCTGATTTACTTAACCGGGGCGATGATGGTTTAACGAATTCTGAAAATAGAATCTATTTTGAATCATTCTTCAGTACAAAGTCATACGCCAAATATACTAGTCTGATCATCGGATGTTAAGTTTTAATGGTTTTAACAAGTTCGATTGGTCATCTGGCTCAACCGTTAACCTACTCTCATCTCTAATGTAAACATAATTCACCCAAGTACCTAAGAAAAAAGAACCCCTCTTACGTGTCATAAAATAGTGGAACAAAACCGAACAAGAGTTTGCAACCAAATTATATTAGGTATGGAGTAATCACTCTGCGGATGAAATCTTGGAACGAAATTCATTGACGACCAATCACCGAGTTAATGCAATGTACAATTTGATGTGAGAATCACTTGAGATGTATCCATCCGCAATTTACCTCGACCAAATTTATAGACGAGATATGGAGAGATTTCGTCGATCAAGTTCAAAAATTATCTAAAACAATTTTTTTTTGAAAAGTAAAGGTAATTAATAATGGAAAAAGAAAAAAAAAAGATTGAGCGGTTACAATATTCCTGATTGGGCAGTATATCCACGTGGATCAATGATTGACCACGTCACTGACAGACCAACGGTCTAGATTGACCAGTTCCCAAAAGTAACCCCCGTTCATCACTCTCTCTCGTTGCCCCTCCGTTTCGTGTCAAATAAGTAATAACATATAAAAACCAAGCCCTTTTTAGTCATTTAATCATCCCCCATATTTTCCTTCAATATAAACGCCTCCGTTAAATCCACACCGTTCTTTCCGTCAAATCGACGGTCGTAAACAATATATATATAGAATTATAGATACACATATACGTAACTGAGACGCGCCCCCCTTTCTCACAAAGCAGAATCGACTCCCGTTCGGCTGTTGTTGTTGTTCTGAGTTTCAATTCTTTCTCACAGATCCCTAATTTTTTTTTTCTCCGTCTCGCTCAAAACCCTAACGATTCAGCACTTGTTAGCTCTGTTTCATCAGTGCATTGCAGCAATCATCTCTCTGATTCTTCCATTCAATTCCAATTCTTGGTACGTGTTTTCCTCCATTTTTTTTTGTGATTTTTTTTTAATTTTTTTTAAATCGCTTTAATCTTATTATTTGTTGAACGGATTGTGTAATTCACTCATACGTACACCCAATAGAATCAGAAGATTGCATTTTTTCTTTTCTGATTGGGGTTGATTTTGATTTTTGTTTTTGGGGAAATCAGGGATGAGAATTGGAGGATGAACGATGCCGGTACTGCGTGGCGGAGTGCGCAGAGGCAGGGGAGGGAAGCAGCAGCAGAAACTGAAAAACAACGACGGTAATAACACCAACAATAATCCAAATCAGGAAAATAATATCAATAATTATCAGGCTGTTGAGGAAAACGCGGCAATCGCTACTCGAACGAGGAGGAGAAGAGCGGCGGCGGCGGGAGTTGCTGTCCCAGTTGGTGAACGTGTAGTTGCTGCAGCGGCAGTGGCAGCAGCGCCTGAAGTTAAGGTGATTGAAAAGAAGCGAGTTTTAGAGGAAAAGAAAGAAGAGGTCGGAGAGAAAGAGATGGATGATAATGAGAGTGGTGGGAAAAGCCCCGACAAGGCTAACGGCGGCGATGATGACTTAGCGGCTGCGCCTCTCCCCGAGAAGGTGATAACCTTTTAAATATGCTTTTTGAAACTTTTTTTTTTATTTCATCTTTTAGGTTTTTTTTTTATTGGTTTTATTGTTTGTCTTTTATCGGGGAGACAAGAGCAACGAAGGTTTTTGCGATGCACGTTATCTAATTTTGAGATGAGATTGTGATATGGAACTGAAAATTTGAAGCTTGTGTTGTGAAATTTTAAAAAAGGATATAATGTAAATAATTAATGTGCGTGATTTTATGAAGAAGATAAAGGGATCTAATTTATTGTATGTTTATATAACACCTTCAATTCCGGCAGAATATGTGAAACTGTCTTGTGCATCATCGAGAACTTAATGCGGTTTTACTTATGTATAGTCATTGTGAAGTTAATCCACTTTCACGGTTTCATTATTACAGGTGCAAGTTAATGGTTCTCCATTGTACAGAGTTGAAAAGAAACTTGGCAAGGGAGGTTTTGGACAAGTGTATGTTGGTCGTCGTATCACTGGTGCTAGCGCTAATGAAAGGACAGGTCCTGGAGCCATTGAAGTATGTCGCTAGGTTTACTTATTTGTGTTAAATTCATAATATATCACTAATCTCCTTCACCAAATTGACGCACTTGTGCTTGATCTTAACAGGTGGCCATAAAATTTGAACACCGTAATAGTAAAGGATGTAATTACGGTCCACCTAATGAATGGCAAATTTACAAGTAAGTGATTTGAACATTTTCTTCAGTTAATTAGGTAAGTGATGAGTGTTATTTATAATTTGTATATTGTAATATGTTCAGTACTCTTGGAGGAAGCCATGGTGTACCACGTGTTCACTACAAAGGCCGACAGGGCGACTATTATGTGATGGTATGTCAGTTACTGCATCTCTTAGTTCCTTTTTCTTCTTTTGCTCTTGCTTATAGGTTTATATTTTAAGAGATCAAGTTATAAAATTGACACTTAAATTTCACAGGTCATGGATATGCTCGGACCAAGCTTGTGGGATGTTTGGAATAATAATGCCCACACGTGAGTGTAACATAACAATATATACATTTCTTTAATTTGTCTATCATATAATTAAGTTAATCTTTTCTCCTGGTCTTATTAAACTTTTATATCGTGAAACATTCAGGATGTCTGTTGAAATGGTGGCTTGCATCGCTATTGAATCAATTTCCATATTGGAGAAACTACACGCAAGAGGGTGAGATATCATGACTATATGCAGAAGTGTTTTAATTATGTTTCCATGTTTAAGCACTTCAAAAGAAATTGATTTTGGTTTCTTTGCTCGTAAAAGTGTATCAGCAATTTAACATTGCTACGTTTTTTTACAATTGACATAACTGCTAAGTTGTTTCATTTACATTTGTTAAGTAAGAACTTTTAGTCAGTGAACACATGTATTTAGTCTCACATATCTTTTTGTAGCTTTACTTGATGCGCCTTTATTGTGGATATTCAGATAACGTGTTACGAATCTATGATTGCTGGGCTAATATCCCAAAAATGACAGGTATGTCCATGGGGATGTGAAGCCTGAGAATTTCTTGCTCGGTTCACCCGGAACTCCCGACGAGAAAAAGCTATACCTGGTTGATCTTGGTTTAGGTACTTCATTTCCTACATATTTCCTTATCAGTTTATTTTCCTGCAATCTGATATATTTTAACTCAAAAACTACTCCTCAATCAGCTACTAGATGGAGAGATGTCACTTCTGGACAGCACGTTGATTATGATCAACGACCAGATGTTTTCAGGTAAGAGCACACTTATATTCATTTCCTTTTAAAGAGCATTTCAAAATTTACTATTTCCATAGTGATCTGATGAGTTTAATGTGGATTTCAGGGGAACTGTTCGGTACGCCAGTGTTCATGCGCATTTAGGTAGAACTGGTACTAGGAGAGATGATTTGGAATCTCTTGCTTACACACTCGTTTTCCTTTTGCGTGGACGTCTGCCTTGGCAAGGATACCAGGTTTGTCTTTTGTGAAAGAAACAATTATTAATTATACTATTTCATTTGTATGTGTCATTAACGGTGTGCTTCATGTCAATATTTGTCTTGTCTGTGTTATTCCTCGATTCACTTTCCTTTTGTATGTCCTTGATATGGTTCTGCTTTTTCCAATAGGGTGAGAATAAAGGATTTCTTGTTTGCAAGAAGAAAATGGCAACATCACCAGAGGCGCTTTGCTGCTTCTGTCCACAACCATTTAAGTCTTTTGTGGAATATGTGGTAAATTTGAAGTTCGACGAGGAACCTAATTATGCTAAATGCATCTCCCTCTTTGATGGGATAGTCGGACCGAATCCAGAGATTAGACCTATCAACACTGATGGTGCACAGAAGGTGCTTACGAGTCTTTTTTATTTATTTTTGTCTTGTTGTTGCTAGTGAAACTTTTCATAGCAGGTATTTTGTTGCTTATCAAATTTTTTGTTTTGGAAATGAAGCTTATCTATCAGGTTGGTCACAAGAGAGGACGTTTGAGTTTTGAAGATGAGGAAGAAGAACAACCTAAAAAGAAAGTTCGTATGGGGATGCCTGCCACACAATGGATCAGCATTTATAATGCTCGTAAACCCATGAAACAAAGGTATAGTCTTTCACTTGGTTTCTGTTTGTCACACAATAGAAATTTCTCTTCCTTATGATTTAAAGATTTAGCCCTGCATCATGACTTGTATTATCCTGTTTTTTCACAAAAACACATGAACTTTTTTATATACTATTTATATTTGGGAACTGAAATCGTTTCTTTGCTCCATCATAATCTTGAACTTACGATTATATTGAAGGTATCACTATAACGTGATGGATGCGAGGCTTGCCCAGCACATTGATAAGGGAACAGAAGATGGGTTATACATCAGTTGCGTATCTTGTTGTCAAAATCTGTGGGCACTAATAATGGATGCTGGCACGGGCTTCACTGAACAAGTTTATGAGCTATCACCTTTCTTTCTTCACAAGGTATATATATATATTTATTTGAAATTTAGGGGGTTCATTAGTATAATTATGATTATTACTGTTTAATCCTGATTTTTGACTGCTTATAGGAATGGATAATGGAACAATGGGAAAAGAATTTTTACATCAGTGCAGTTGCAGGGGCAAGCAATGGCAGTTCCTTAGTAGTAATGTCGAAAGGTAAAGTCTGAGTTCAACCTTGACACTCCGTCTTTTGCTGTACATGATATATTTATTTAACCCAGAAATTGTTATACTGAATTCAGGCACACAGTACTTGCAGCAGTCGTATAAAGTTAGTGATTCATTTCCGTTTAAGTGGATAAACAAAAAGTGGAGGGAAGGTTTCTATGTTACCTCCATGGCCACATCAGGGGCAAGATGGGCAGTTGTTATGTCTCGTGGTGCTCCATTCTCAGACCAGGTTTTCTTTTTCTCACACTCGATGGTTTTTTTTGTAGATTATTCATCGTATTGAAATTGAATTTCCGGTGTGGTTTTATTGGCTAAATTTTTATGTGTCGTATTTTTTTTGTAGGTTGTGGAACTCGATTTTCTTTATCCAAGTGAGGGCATCCATCGGCGCTGGGATCATGGATTCCGTATAACTTGTACTGCAGCAACTCCTGACCAGGCAGCTCTTGTATTGAGTGTACCGAAAAGAAAACCAGTTGATGAAACACAGGAGACTCTTCGTACATCTGCGTTTCCTAGTACACATGTCAAGGTTAATTTACTTGCCATTTATTTATTTATTTGTTGTTTTTGCAGTATTTGCTTGATATAAACAAGCGCTTGTTTGTTTTGTTTGTTTGTTACAGGAAAAATGGGCGAAGAATCTTTATCTTGCGTCGGTTTGCTATGGTCGTACAGTTTCTTAGTGTCTGGAAAATTTTCCAGGTTTGGAGAAATTTAGAAGCAGCAGCAAGCTTAGCTGTAGTATGAGTAAATAGGGTATCGTTTCAGTCAGGGTCTTGCAGTATAAAATGCATAAGGGGTGTGTATGCGTTTTTATTATCGCCATAAAATGTGTTTTTTTACTCGTTTAGAGACTTTTTATTAGTTTTTATAGTGCCCAGTTTGGGCATTTGGATGGAATTCTTGATACTTTTGTGTGGTTTATTATTAGTTCACCTCCAATTCTGATATTCTTGGTAATTATGATTATTGTTCATGTCTCTAATTATTTTTGAAATTTGCTATCCTTTTTTTTTAATAAATAAAAATTATATTAATCAAATGAAAAATCGGAAATGTCTACAAGCGGGTAACCCCGATCACAAAAACAAATAACAGGAATAAGATTTAAGTGAAAACGAGTCATGCCGAAAACAAGAACTTTTCCATTTACCCACAAATTGCAGCAAAATTGGAATTTTATGTTTGAAGTAAGACATCAATTCTTGTTTTTCCTTCCAAAAACATTAATATAAGTGATAGTCGAAACTGGCGAATATAAGGTCATTTTACACGTTATATTTGAAATTCATAAACTCCGTTGATACATCGAGAATCTTGAATTCATTTCCTTTGGAAACCGATTTAGCTGGCCTGCAGCACAGTTTGTGTAACGGGACCTTCCCCTGTAGTCGAGATAAAACGAAGGTCCATTAGTGATGTAAATACATTAATTTTGACTTAATTAGTTGCAAATAATTTCGATAAAGGAAAAAAGTATCGAACCTCAACATTGTCATGGTCATAACGAACAACAAAGAGACACGTGCATCTACTACTATCGTGCAACAACCTCTTTATTTCCACCACATGTGCATCGCAGTAAAGAGCGTGATCTTCAGCCTCCTGCAAATCCGTCGTTTGAGATATTTATTTATTCAACTTCCTTAAACGAGTATATTAGTCTCGAGACCGAAACACAATAATTTAATACAGCAAAAAAAAAAAAAAAAAAAAAAGGTTTAAGTACCCTGAAGCAAAGAACAAGATCTCCAACATGGACTTTGTCGCATTCGGAAGGTTCCAGAGGGAGTGAGCGTTCACGTACAGCCCTCTCTACGTTAACCCATTCATCTTCCTCTTTCCCGAATCCAGCAAATCTCACACGAACCAGCTGTTATTTTTATTTTACAGAAATTATTTCAATATACTAACAAGTAGCAACTCAATTTTGTGCATTTCAATATATATATATACATATATACGATATGCCCGAAGGTTCTTACCAGCTCTCCTGAGCTGATGACTCTGTAGGTCAGGAAAGAACCGACGTCAAACCTAAGAAGCAAGAAAAATAAAGCTTTAGTGTTACACTCTAAATAATCGTATAATAAAATCATACATATATTTATATATAATAAATATAAAGATAAATGTTTACCAAGCATAATCCTTTGCCGATCTAGCTTCGAAAAGCAAGTTTGGGAGCTCGGCAGCTGCTTGGGTAGCAGAAATTGTTGTTACTGGAATGAATTTTAAAATTTATAAGCTCGTAAAGTATGGAGTTAGCACAATAGCAAATGGATATTAGTATATTATGAACGAGCAATTTCGGATTCTCATTCTATTAGTATAGACAGTTGCAATCTTGAGAAAAAAATGCAAAATTAAATTCGAGCAACGACAACCATATTAGAAAATCGAGATTTAGCGTCTCAAAAAGGCGAGATTTGCGAAATGCAATTGCTCCGTATTAGAAAGCAGAGTAAATGTACTTGTGTCGACTTAATACTTCAAAAGAAACCGTTAATCAACGAAAAATTGATTAGCAATTTTCTTTTGATTCATGTGAAACGTATCAACGGAATTTGGAATTTGTAAGAGCCGAATTTTGCAATTTTAATATATATCGGAAAACGAAGAGCAACCTTTATCTCGTTTTTTAAGTATTGCAGCCTTTGAGACGATAATTCCTTTGTGAGGAGATGGGATAACTATGGCTCCCGAATTTTTTTGCTTATCTTGAAACCAACTTTGCACCTACAAAACAAGAAATATAAACGGGACGTGTAGATATATTATTAATTTATAAAAAGAAAACATTTTCCACTGAAAAAGATTAACTAAGAAAATTCGGAAAAATTCACCTGCTCCCATTTTATAGGAGATTTTTCGAAACGGTGAGCTGAACAGCTGAGTATTAAAAACACAGACGACGAAATAAGTTAAAATCCAACCAAGTTCTAGCAAAAGCACATATTAATGATTCCGGAATTAATGGATAAATCCATCACTAGAACAAGATATTATAAAAAATCGAACTTACCTAAACTTTGCGGAAAGTTCTTCGCAGAACTCCCGACTAATCGGTTTATCTCTCATTTGTTTAAATAAGCGCTCCATTTCCAGAATCTGTTCAAGAAATAAAAATAGACAGCATCCCTAAATCAATTTTTTTTTTTAAATTAATCTATTATATGACAATTTTGTTCTCTAGTTTTAAAACCCAACAAAACAATGTTGTACATAACAACCAATACATAGAGAAACTTGTGTAATCAATCACTAAAGGGTAAATTGAGAAGGGATTATCGGAAATGGTACAATTTAACCATTTGAAACGACGTCGTTTAGCAGCAACTGTTAACAGAAGAAGTACATAATCGGAAACACCGATTAGAAATTTCACCAGTGTTAGAGGTAAAAAGGGGAAGAACATATGAATTACCTCTGTTAATGTAAACTCAGGTAAATCTTCTGCCATTTCCATGGCTTCAAGCCCATCATCCATCTCTCTCTCTCTCTCTCTCTCTCTCTCTCTCTCTCTCTCTCTCTCTCTCTCACACACACACACACACACACGCGCGCACACAGGGACTGGGATTTCTTTCACAGGGGTTTTCTGTTCTTTCTTTCTTAATAGAGAAATGTTTTGGGGGCAAAAGGGAGATGTTCTCTGCAGTGAGATTCGTGCAATTACGTTAATTGCCACGTAATATATTGCCACCTTGACTTTTTTTCTTCTTTCATTTTTCTTTTATTCACTATTTTCCTCTTTTATCTTGGGATAAATATACAATGGGCAAATTACAAGAGCACCCCTGAAGTAAGACCTAATTATGAAAGAAAACCCCTCATTGTTTGAATAATTATCAACATCACTCTAAGGTATTCTTCATCTAATGAGTATAAATTTACCCTCACAGAGTTAACATTAACAGAATCAAATAGATTTCACGAAATATCTATTTTTAATGACCAGGATACCCTTAGGGGTGTAATTGTAAAGTTTGTAAACAATTCTATTTTTATTTATTTATTTATTTTTGTTTTATTGTTAACTAGCCATTTTTGTGATAAAACCAAATTACGAAAGAACCTCTCATTTTTTGAAACCATCAAGATAGATATGTAAGAAGATTCATCGTTAATGGAATAGTTTTAATTACCTTAATACAAGGTTTTTTTTTAATTTGATCTTAGCTCAGGGATAATTAATTAATTATAGGGTAAATTACACACACCCCCCTGAGGTAAGCTTAAATAACTGTAAGGTCCCTGTGGTATCGATAATTACATTCACCCCCCTGAAAGGTAGTTAAAAACTCTAACAGGATAATGCATTGTATACATTATTCCGATAGGGTTCTAGAAAACTATCCCGCCAGAGGAGGGTGGGGCACTG